GGAAGGAAGTAAGAAAGTAAGTCAGGATGTAAGGAAGGAAGGATGTAAGGAAGGAAGGAAGTAAGAAAGTAATGAAGGAAGGATGTAAGTAAGTAAGTCAGGATGTAAGCAAGTATGCCAGGCTGTAAGGAAGTAAGTCAGGATGTAAGGAAGTAAGTCAGGATGTAAGGAAGCAAGTAAGAAAGGAAGGAAGGATGTAAGGAAGTAAATAAATAAGTAAGGATGTAAGGAAGGAAGAACGGAAAGAAGGAAGTAAGAAAGGAAGTAAGGAAGTAAATAAGAAAGTAAGTAAGTAAGGATGTAAGGAAGTAAATAAGAAAGTAAGTAAGATCTAAACAGTACTAGGATCTAGTCTGGTCAATTATCTAAATATGAAAAGTCCAACTTCTGATGAATAATGTCAACTTCCTCAAAGTTAAAAGTTGATCTCTGACAGCGTTGATTAAACAATACTGGAATTAATAACACAATGAAAATTTAAATCTGCCCTGAATCATCATATTTAAACTAATTGATCATTTGAGGGATCAATAAACTTTAGTTTTTGTTTTGCAGACAAATCTTCAGTTCAACAACAACAAATATTACCTGATCCAGCTGTTGGAGGACGACAGCTCCCAGGTTTACAGCGTGTGGATGAGATGGGGCAGAGGTGAGTTTACCTGCTGCGGAAAGGCGGAGCAAAAATATTTTTTGCCCCCGTCTGTCTGTCAGCAAAATATCTAATGAATATTGGGACTTTCAGAAAGTAAACATCAAATGTACATCTGAGACCTTTTAACTTTTGGAGTCAACCCGATTCAAGATGGCCGCCACAGCAAAGCCATCATAGCAAGGACAAAAACAGCTACAAGTCAGGCAGCTTCACAGATGAGCTAAAATTTGGTGTGGTAGTAGCTGAGAGTCTTTCCTAACACATGCTCCAAGCGCTGACTCATCATGCTAGCTATTGCGTGCTGTATTAAAGTTTGACCCAAAATGGCTCCAACTCTGTCATTCCTTCAAAACAAACGGGTCAAACTGCGTAACTCGATCACTTTAACCTTCTGTTTCCACAGTGGGCAAAGTGGGTCAGAACAGCCTCGTCACCTGCGGAGGAGATCTGCTGAAGGCCAAGGATGTCTTCAAGAAAAAGTGAGGTTGTTTAACTTAAACCCTTCAAAGATGTCTCCGATTTAAACCAAACAAACCGTTTTAGTTGAATTCTGAACCTTTGCTGCAGATTCCTGGACAAGACGAAGAACGAGTGGGAGCACCGGGGGAGTTTCGAGAAAGTAGCTGGAAAATACGACATGGTGTTCATGGACTACAACACGGATGAAAAGGTACGTTTGAAACCTCAACCAGGAGTTTGCATCAATTCTTAAAAGTCCTTACGTGACCAAATCTGTGCAGCCTAAACTTGATGACCGTAGCTCCTCGATCAGTCTCCCAGTCTGAGAAATCACTCCTGATCAAACAACATGAGCAGAACAACATGGGAGAGTGTTGATGATGATGATGTATACTTTATTGTCCCCGAGGGGACATTTGTCTTGGACATTGTGCGCTAAACAAAGCTTCTTCCACAGTTAAATACACTACAAACAATAAAACCATGTGAACACCACAATAAAAGAAAAAACACATATACTCAATAAAAACACATATTGCACGTTCCCACATACATTCCAGCAAGTAACCGAAACAACAAATCACACCAGAGCATCAGCAGCTTGACAAAATACTGTATGCCTACTTTATTAAACAATCAGAGTGATGTAGGGACAAATTAATTTTTAAATCTGTTCAGTCTACAAGCTGGGACTCTAAACTGTTTTATATTGAGCATGCATCAGGATGTTTTCCAGGTGGTAACAGTTCGTGTTGTGAGTTGAGGATGTGAGCGGGGTCAGACAGCACCCTCCGACCATGTCTGAGCACAGACTCATCGTAGATCACCTTCACTGCAGTTTGTACCCTGCAACTAAGTTTAGATTTGAGTTGCACAGAGATGACCATACCACGCCGACATTCCAAACCTGATGATGCTTTCCAATACGGCCTGATAGAATAAAACCACAAGCTTCTGGTTAACCCCAAAGACGCTGAGTCTACGTAAAAAACACGATCTCTGTTGTAGACGGGAGCGCAACATATTCACATGAATGTCCCACTTGAACAGATTGTCTAAGTGAACACCCAGACATCTGTAAGAACAGACCTGGTTTATGTTCTGCACCACTGAACAAAAGACTGAACCTCGTTAAAATATGACGAGGAGTCCATGTCCTCATGCAGCAAGCTGAGAATAGCAGTATCCTCATAAAATTTAAAAATGTAATTCCCGGGGCAGCTGCAATCATTTGTGTAAATGGTGGACAGGAGAGGTAACAAACACTGGGGAGCCCCAGTACTGATGGGCCTTGGCTCTGATAAGGTGTTATTGACTCTGACTAGCTGTGATCTGTTTGTTAAAAAAGAATAAAATAATTTAATAAGAAGAGGATTAAGATTCCTCTGCTGTAAGCAGGTGAGGCTGTAGGGTATTAAAGCAGAACTAAAGTCTATAAACAGAAGACGGGCATAGGCCTTTGGGTTTTCAAGTTGTTTAAGAGTTAAGTGTGTGATGCCATTAATGGCATGATCGGTACCTCGTCCCTGTCTTTAATCGAACTGGAACGGATCGAGACCAGGATTTATCTCTGATTTCAAGAGGGACGCAACATTTTTCTCAAAACACTTCATTACTATTGATGCTAGTGTCACTGGTCTGTGGTCATTATTATCACATGGACTTGATTTCTTGGGGACTGGAACGATAATTGACCTTTTCCAAAAAGAGGTCAGTTATTATTCCAATCCCCAAAAAATGTCCACGTCTGTAGTGTTTTAAAGACGGTTCGCAGATTAATCACATGCGTGAGAAGTTTCAGACTGAAACCAAAAAATCATGTTGTCTAAACAAAATATTATAAAACGTGTTTGTGGACGTGCGTCCCTTCCAGGAGGAGAACCAGACCGCGGTAGATGCTGCACAGAAAAAGAAGCCGTCCAGGCTGGACGCCAGAGTTCAGTCGCTTCTCGAGCTCATCTGTGACCTGAAGGCCATGGAGGAGTGCGTGCTGGAGATGAAGTTTGACATCAAGAAAGCTCCTCTTGGTCAGTGACTCGAAAAATATTTACAGAAGAAAAAAAAAAAAAGGTTGAAATGGGTCGTTTTGTAGCTTTTATTTCTCCCGACATTCCTTCTTTTACCTGTAGGGAAGCTGACCACAGCGCAGATCCGCGCTGGCTACGTCGCCTTGAAGAAAATCGAGGACTGCTTGAAGAGGAAAGGCGGCAGTCGGGAGCTGCTGGAGGCCTGCAACCAGTTTTACACCCGCATCCCACATGACTTTGGGTAAGGAGCGTACAGCGATAACGTAGAGAAAACACATCCTAATTGTTTCTTGATCTGTGGTGTGATTTTTACAGCTTGAGAACTCCTCCAATCATCCGCTCCGAAGAGGAGCTGAAGGAAAAAATCGCTCTGTTGGAGGTAAACTTTTTTTAACCCTTCATTCTTCTGCAGTCGCCTGACCCTGTCACACACTGGACGTTGCGTGTTGTAAATACCGCCTGCTGTCTTTTCTTGAAGGCGCTAAGTGACATCCAGATTGCTGTGAAAATGGCCCAGTTGAACGCAGACAGCGACGAGCATCCGTTGGACAGTCAGTACCACTCCCTCCAGTGCAAACTGCAGCCTCTGGACTCCAGCAGCCATGAGTACAAGGTCAGTTTACTCTTTATTAGGAGTGTAACGGTCCATTTGTACTTTGGTGGTCCGGTACAAACATTTGAGACGGGTACAGTGAACTAAATAACAAATACATCAGTGACAGGTGATCGCCGCTCCAATCTAGAAGCAGACAAGTTTTATTTACCACCAAACAAAGAACGGTTGGTCCAGAATAACATGCTGAATCTTTAAGATGCAGTTATGGCAGGCAGTTGTGTCAAGTAATCAACACTTTAGGAAGTACTACATCAAGCCACAATTCAGTACCCCATATATTGAGCGTCGTTTCACACCAGCACTCAGCTAGCTGAAAAGTTGGAATTCACATTTAATTTATTTATTATTTTCACTGTCATAGACGTTATTTTACATAAAGATTCAAGGATTTTTTTATTGTCATACCAGCACACATTTGCATGGTTATGGTCCAAAATTTGGACTCGGGTCCCAGATCAAGAAGCCTAACAATTAGTGCAGTGCAGCTACCGAGAACGCTCTTCACCGCACAGCGATAGAAGCTCCTCAGGACAGAGCTCCCAAGTCCAGCTCTCCGCAGTTTCCTGAGGAAGTAGACGCTAGTGGGCCTTCTTGACCAGGCAGGAAGTGTTGGCTCTCCAGGTGAGGTCACTTGTTATATGCACCCCCAGGTACCTGTAGCAGGAGACACCCTCCACAGCTGCTCCTCTGATGTGTAAGGAATGAAGAGGATCCTTGTAGCTTCTGAAATCCACCACCATCTCCTTGGTCTTCTTCACATTGATGCAGAAATTATCGTCTCTGCACCAGGTGTTCGACCTCCTCTCTGTATTTGGACTCCTCGTTGTTCGTGATGCGTCCCACTACTACTGTGTCGTCATAATATCAACAGGTCCGTTTATTGAAGAAAGCACTTCTTGATTTTTGTTTTATTTTTACTAATATTTTTTCCAGATAATCACATTTTCAGTTTGGCCAGTGGCAGTGGTTCCCAAAGTGGGGGGCGCGCCCCCTGTAGGGGGTGCAGCGCCATTGCAGGGAGGTGCGGTATGAGTGGATTCAGGAAACCGGAGCGGAGCAGGAGAAGGCCCTTTTGCCTAGTTCAGTCCACACTGAGGGAACACTGCATGTAATAATGTCCTGAGAGCGCACGCTGTAGCTGCACTCACTAAATGAATGCTTGGACACTGCTAGCATAATGGACAAGTTTTTGACGGGGCTCCCACATAAACGCAAAGCAGAAGATGAAGCACTGGTAAATATGCTTCTAAACCAACTTCCCTCCAAGCCAAAGAGTAGAAAATACGACGGAGCATGCTTTACCTTTTGCTCCACCTGCACATTGTAGCGTTATAAGGAGAGACCACAGTCTTAACGTGCTAGCTTGTGACAGTATGAAGCCTAACAAGCTACGACGCCACTTGGAGACGAAACCACCGGAGCACAAAGACAAGTCGGTTGACTTTTTCCAGACAAAAACTCATAAACTGCTGTGCTCAACAGGGTCTCTTTACTAAAGCTGCATAAATGCTCTGCTGAGCTCAGATAAAGTTGCCGACCAAGTGGCAGAGTGTAAAAGGCCACACACAACTGCGGAGGATTTAATACTTGGCTGTGCTATAGATATGCAGGTTGAGTCAAAGACACCGGCTACATTTTGGATTGGAGTGGAGAAAGATGACCCTCTGCTAGGTAAGAGAGCCCTGGCGCCGTACTTCGTCCTTTTGCCACATCCCTCTTATGTGATGGTTTTTCTGCCGTGGCCTCAGTCAAGACAAAATACAGATCACAGCTGGGCACTGAAAGTGAACTCAGTGGAAGAGTCACAACTGCAACCCAGGTTTGCTCAATAAAAAATGAGCAAACCTGGGGGGTGGGGGGTTTCCTATAAACTAAAGTGGGGTCCAGCAGAAAACGTTAGGGAACCACTGGGTGTGTTGATGTTTATAGTTCTGGTTGGACACAGAAAGACAGAAAAGTGTGAAGTATTTTATTTTATGGCATATTTCCCAGTTGATAAATCTTACACTACTTCTCTATTTAATTACTAATGTAAATAGTAAACAATAAAGCCAAATTGTAAAAGCAAAATTAATTTAGAGTGATTTCAGACTCTTGACTGGTTGTGTTGAGTCACACCAGGTGAGCAGATCCGTCGGTCTGCTGCAGCAGTAATTTGACACACCTTCTTTTATGATGTCGTCTAGTTTTAACACGTTCTCGCTCTTCAGGTGGTAGAAAAGTACCTGCAGTCCACTCACGCCCCCACCCACGGTGACTACACCATGACCGTCCTCGATGTCTTCTCGGTGGACCGAGACAAGGAGAGCGACAGTTTCCTTTCCCACTTGCACAACAGGTCAGCAGAGACAGCCGCTGGTTGATGTCAAACGTTGCTTTGCTTCATCTGAACGGGTCTGTGGAATGTGTTTACATTTATTGTGTTTGTACCAGGACCCTGCTGTGGCACGGTTCCCGCCTTTCCAACTGGGTCGGCATCCTTGGTAAGGGCCTCCGAGTAGCTCCACCTGAGGCCCCCGTCACTGGCTACATGGTAGGAAGCATGCATCAACTCTTACTGGACCATTTTATGCCTTAAATAAAACAAACAAGCCAAATATGTGAGAGTAATGATATAAAAGATTTAATTAAAAACGTAAAGTGTTATAAATCAAGTCCAGTTTATTTCTAGAACACATTTAAAAGCATTTTTACTAGAATGTACAAGTAGAAAATAAATAATTTTAAAAAAAAATCAGCATTAAATAATCATCAATACGAATTAAAACAAGTGGAAACAGACTAAAATTTCTTTGGGCATTTTAATTTAAAGTCTGAAATATTTTTTTTTTGTCAATCTTTTGACTAAAAGGATCCACAAAATTTAAAATAAACTTGAGAAATTGCATTTCCTGCAAAAATGCCACGTGAAAGCATATTGCAGAAGAACTTGCTGAAAAACAGCTGAAATGTAGCTGAAATGGAAGAACAAGCCTAATTTAGCAGAAGAAAGCAGGAAGGACATATATTTGCTAAATTAGGTTTGAACGAACAAAAGTGAGCACACAAATTTGAAGATTAGCTAAAACAAGCTGAAATGAGCAACAAAAATAACTGAAAAGTGGCTGAAAAGCCAGAAAGAAGCTTAAACTACCAGAAGCAAGCAAAAAGAGCTGAAATGAGCTAAAAAAAAAAAAGTGAATTACCTGAAAAGCTAAAAACAACATCAAAATAGCTACAGAGTAGCTGAAAGAGCAGAAAAAGCTGAAACTAGCAGAAAAAAACTGAAAGGAGCATAAGCTAAAATTAGCATAAAGAAGTTAATTAGGATTAAAAAAGCAAAAATGAACACTAAATTGTGGAAGTTATCTGAAAAAAGCTGAAATAAGTAAAAACAGCTGAAAAGTAGCTAAAAAGGCAAAAAAAAAAGCTTAAATTACCAGAGGAAAGTGGAGAGAGCACATTTTTGCTGAATTAGGTTGAAAAAAGTTGCAATGAGTGCAAAAAATGTGGAATTAGTTGAAAAGGCTAAAATTAGCATAAACACAGCTAAATGGTAGCTGAAATGGTAGAAAAAGATGAAACTTGCTGAAAGGAGCATAACAAGCTGAAATTGGCAGAAAGAAATTAGAAGAATAAAATATTGTAGAATCAGAAAGGAGCACAAAACAGCTGAAAGTAGCTGAAAAAAGTTAAAATTTGCACAAGGAAGCTGAAAGAAGCTGAACCAGAACAAAATGTGAAAGGAGCAGTGAAAGTTTGTAAACACATCTAAAGATCTGAAGGACGTAAAATGAGCTCAATTCATTTTCTTTTAGGAAAAAATGGCAGAAAAGGCTAAATATTAAAAAAAGCTAAAGTTGCATCAATATCAAAAATCACCATTCTCCTGAATGAGCTGAACATTTTGGTATATGATTTGTTGAAATAGCACAAAAATTGTGGAACGAGAAAGATTCCACAGAATGTATGGAAGAAAAATAGATCACAAGAGTGTGAATGCTCCGTAAACATTTACACTATTACATAAAATATCAACAATCACTCTGACGTTCTCTTTCAGTTCGGTAAAGGCATCTACTTCGCTGACATGTCATCAAAAAGCGCCAACTACTGTTTTGCCAACCAGAGCAACCATGTTGGACTGCTGCTTCTGTGTGAGGTGAGTTTTGTTTGTAGAACCAGATTTTTAGCTGCTGTCGACAAAACAGCCGAAGTTTGACAAATGTTGTATATTTTTGTGAGCGTAAAAAAAAAAGTAACGTTTTAGCCTTTTGAGATCACAGAGGAAAATAAAGATAATCTTAAATTATCGAAGACAAACGCTTTGTTCTATTTATTTCAGGAGTTGAAACTCTGATTTTGGACTGGACCGTGTTCTGGTTACAAGTCCGATAACGAGCAGGAGTTCCTAATCGTTGTGATTAGTGACCAGCCTCGCCATCATAAGCTAAAGAAGCTGATAATCATGGATTTCTCTGTGCAAACATTTTAGCAACATGTTTGCTCATAGTGTGTGGGACTGGATCACTGAGAAGATGAAAAAGTTTATTTCTGCATAAGGAAGCCATTTTGTGTTTTGAGGTTAGGGTTGGTCAGAGAGTCGGAGTTTTTTAGTTGGAATTTGGTTCATTCCTGTTGATTTTTCCAGCTTGGATCTTGAAAAACACCAAAAATGAACCAGCAGATGAAAACAACTTTTAGGAACATTTAAAGCTGGTTTGTACTTCCTGAGAAGTGCTGAAGTCGTGTCTTCCAGACGTGAGTGCATGATAAAAACGGCCTACTTTTCTACTCACCCCCCCTCCATTAGCTGCAATAAGCTGATCTCATTTTTTCTCTGCCGAGGAGCAGATGGCCAAAGCTGTACAGCCATCTTTACAACTAACAAAGTCCATGCTCAATAATCCAGGTATACAATCCACATTTTGAACCAGTTTGACACGACTGTCGACGAGGAAGAGGGCCGGCACCGGAGGAAGGGGCGTGCCAAGACACCATCTTAGCACCAACATAACTGGTTTGTTCCACTAAGCTGTTTGGGGGAAGAATCAGTTTTGTGTTTTGTGTTTCCTTGACTGATGAAGCCTTCTGGATGGAAGGTGAAACGTTTCAGCGCAAACAAAAAAAAGAAACTGCCGCAGAAATGTAACTTCTTGATCAGCTGCACTGAAACAACTGAACATGGAAGTTCTAAAATAGTTAAAAATAACTCTTAACACTTTCATATTTTGTGATTATGATGATTTTTACGATGTGGCATACTTTGGAATTTTAAGTTGGAAGACGAAAGTCGATCTGGACAGCAAAGGGTTAACCCTTCACAAAGCTGCAGCAGGAGCAATGTGTGTGGTGGCAGAGAAGAAGATCAGCTGATCAGCTGCAGGAGGGAGCTTTCCCTTGCACTTGTGGGCTGCACACATGGTGCAAAATCATTTAAAATAATTTATTTTAAATAAACAACCCGTGGCTCATCCGTCAATCAGCCAGTTGTGTCGTGTCTTACTTTGAAAATCCACGACAAACGAACCGCGAAGGAGCGAGGGACAGACACCACCTCACCATAACGTCAGAGATGTGACGTCTTAACGTCTCGTGAAGTGTAACCAGATGTTTTACTGATTATCAGCACGGTCTGAATGGCATGCGTCAGTGTGTTAAAGCAGAGTGTGTGTGTGTGTGTGTGTGCAGGTGGCTCTGGGAGACTGTAACGAGCTGCTGGACGCCGACTACGAGGCCAATAATCTGCCGGCAGGAAAACACAGCACCAAGGGCCTGGGTCGAACTGGACCTGACCCCAAAAACGCTGTCACGCTGTGAGTCTCCTCACGTTCACAGTTTTTATACACACTGGTTCTGACAACAACCGTTACAACGTCTACATCGATGGATTAAATTAGATAATCCCACTCTTTCATCTGCTTAGAGTTCACTGTACTTCTGTTGCAGAATCACACAGTTTGGAGCAAAATTGCTGAAATGAAAGTCAAAAATACTGAATTCTGATTTCTTAAAAAAAAAAAGTTCTTATATTAAAAGTTAAGAAATAAATAACTGGTTTGACGATGACAATAGTGGAAAAGACAATTGTTTAAAATTTGGTAACTCTTCGGTCACAAATGACTTTTTTAATCAAACTGTTTCTGAACCTCCAGGCCTGAGAACTGACGGTTAATATTTGTATTAATACTTATTTTCACAGTTTATGACATAAGATCTTATAAAAGAGTAAAAGTTGTTCTGTCATGGTGATTTTATGACACTCTCCACGTGGTTTGGCCTGAAGTTTTCTTCTGCGATTTATTATTTTATAATTATATTGGACACATTGATCCTGCACGATCAATATTTGGGGCCTGCCGTAACAAAAGTATAAAGGAAGTAAATTTAAATTGTACCAGCACAACGTAAAAGAGGCGTATCGTGTAGTGAGTCTGTTTCAAACTGAAAGTGCTGCGCAGCGTCTTTTATTTAATGGCTTCACAAAAACAGTTGATTTTGTTTGAATAAAAAGCTAAAGATTTATTAGCACTAATGTTCTGTATTGAATGGTTTTGTGGTTAAATAATATTTTGGCCATAAGTTTATTTAAAATGGGCCGAGTAGAGAAATAAAAAAATAACAACCAATTCATAAAATAAATAAAAGAAAAATTATTTGTTTCTAAAATTGAATTTCAGTCAAATGGTTCCCAAAAGCGTCGCCTAATGTTCTTATGTTAAACTTTTTTAATTCTGTGAATGTTTATGACACATACTGTATTGGGATCCTATTTTTTTCCCGAACTTTTTTTGGCGCAATTCTCGTTCCACAGTTTTCAAACTATTTCAACAAATCATATTTCAAACCTTTCAGCTCTTTCAGGACAATTCTGCTTTAGGTACTGATGTAACTTTAGCTTTTTTTTAAAATATTTTAGCCTTTTCTGCCATTTTTTTTTTCTCATAGAAAATGAATTGAGCTCATTTTACATCCTTCAAATCTTTGGATCTGTTTAACGCCTTTTACTGCTTCTTTCACATTTTGTTCCGCTTCAGTTTCTTTCAGCTTCCTTATGCTAATTTAAAAAAATCAGCTACTTTCAACAAATTTTAGCTGTTTTGCGCTCCTTTCAGGTTCTTTCTGCTACCTATAACATTTTTGTGCTTCTTCAAACTTCTTTCTACTATTATGCTCCTTTCAGCTTATATCTGTAAGTTTCAGCCTTTTCTATTATTTCAGCTACTATGTAGCTGTTTATGCTAATTTTAGCGTTTTCAGCTAATTCTACATTTTTTTTGCACCCATTTCAACATTATTTAGCCTAATTCGGCAAAAAATATGCTCTCTCCACTTCCTTCTGCTAATTTAAGCTTCGTTCTGAAATTTTAGCTACTTTTCAGCTGCTTTTTTGTTACTGATTTCAGCTTTTTTCAGATAATTTCCACTTTTTGTGCATATGTCTGCTTCTCTTAGCAAACGTGTTCTTTCTACTTTCTTCTGCTAATTTAAGCTTGTTCTACCTTTTCATCTAGCTATTTATTAACACTTTTTAGCTAATTTAAGCTGTTTTCTGATAAATTCAAGTTTTTCATAGTATTTTTTGCTACTTTCAATCTAATTAACTTATTTATGGTATTTTCAGCTTGTTATGCTTCTTTCAGCTTTTTTCTGCAAGTTCCAGCTTTTTCTGCTATTTCAGCTACTATTTAGCTGTTTTATGCTTATTTTAGCCTTTTCAGACAGTTGCACATTTTTTAGCTCATTTCAGCTCTTTCCACTTCCTTCTGGTAGTTTCAGCTTCTTTCTGCCTTTCATCTTTTTTTTGTTGATTTCAACTTTCTTTAGTTAATTTTCTAATTTTTGTGCTAATTTATACCTGTTTCAGCAAAAATGTGTTCTTTCTGCTAATTAAATTTATTTCCTTTCAGCTACAATTCAGCACGTTTCTTTTTAGCTAATTTCAGCAAGTTCTTCAGCAACAAGCATTCACGCTGCATGTTCGCAGGAAAAGCAACTTCTGTGATAAAAAGACTTGTTTGCTTAAAACAGGAGTGTTGAAATGACAGGAGACATATTTGTTGCGTTAAAACCGTTAAATCTTTAAGCAGGTGCAACTTTTTGTCTGACTTCTCGTCGGTGTTTCCTCAGGAACGGTGCGACGGTTCCACTGGGCCCCCCGGTGAAATCTGGAGTGGGTACAACCAGCGGCTACTCCCTCCTCTACAACGAGTTCGTAGTTTATAACCCGGCTCAGGCTCGGATGAGGTACCTGCTGCGGGTCCAGTTTAACTACTCGTCCCTGTGGTGAACGGGCTGGAGTCTTCGATGTGGGGGGTTCTTTTGGGGGGGGTGAGCTAGAGAAATATTTAATCTCATTGCAGCAACTCATCAATTTTTAATCCTTCCACTGGTGGAAATATAATCTGCCTTTACGGTGACTGCTATTTCTGTTTTAAGGAAAATATGTCAAACTGTTTGTGTTTTTTTTATTAAATTTATTAAAGTGAAACTACAGTAAAGCCTCCGTTTTTTTATTATTATTATTTATTTTCAAACATAAAATAGTTTTGATCATTTCGTTCAGAGACCGTTTTTTTTAAATTCCACGTCATGAAACGGCACGAGAAAACACTGAAGCTCAATCAGACGGAAAAAGGAATTTTTAACGACGGCGCGTGAGGGACACTCAACAAAACAATAGATTATCCCCCAGTTTTGAGATTAAAGTTTAAATACCAGATAAAAGTTGCATCGTAGAGGAAAAGTCGTCTTTCAAGACTAAACCACAGGAAGTGAACCCCACTGAGCTGAACCGGGCGGTTTGTGTTCTGGTTCTTGTTCCTGTATCTGGGGGCTCCGAGAGCATTTTTTGAGGTTAACTACAAAATAAAATGCAGAACTCACAGTATTTGTTTCAATCCTTCACAATAAGACTCAGAAGTTTTTCTTGGTTCTGTTTGTGTTTATTAGGTTTTACTTGTTGGCGATCAAGTTTGTGGTTCAGTCCCGTGTTATTTATGTTCGTCTGGCCTTTCTCCTCACTCGGTTCTGCCACTCGCACCTGTTCCCAGGTGTCATTTTATTCTGAATTTTCTCACATCCTTGTGATGTTGGACAAAACAGCGAAAAGGTAAAACGTACACGATGCTCGTATGAAATGAACATGTAGGAGGTTTTGCGCTGCTCTGTGTGCTAAAGGTCATATTAATCAAAACGGTTTCATATTCCTCTCACTTTGCCGTCATTTAAAACAAAGCGGTTCCATTTTAGACACGATGAGGTTGTTTTCAGATCGTCCGTGCGGTCGAGACCTCCTCCCCCCAGCAGCTAGAGGAAGATGAAGACCGTCCAGGTAGATCGTGAGGGCGGCGTTGATGGATTCAGACGGTGGCTCGTCGTTCCCGCCGTCAGCCGACAGTCGATCAGGAGCTGAAGCAGGAACCAAAATGTAGAACGGGGTAAGAACATACTAGCTGCTGCGGTTTCTGTGACCTGATGGTCTTTGTGATGATCTTAAAAGCAAGATTAGTTCCACTTTGAGGACCATAGAAGTCTTCAAACCACGGACGTAACTGTTACGCAGGTATGGCAGCAGAATAAAAATATAATTACTGCAGTATCTGTGCACACGGTCAGTTTAGACCAGAACAGCTTGAACTGCATCTAACCGAGTTTTAATGCCTTCCTCGGTTTAAATGAAGGTTTCTGAGATGGCAAAACATAAAGAAAAGGGAATAATAGTGCAGCTAATTTATATTTTGCGAAACTAATTGTAGGTAAAATCCGTTTGTAGACGTGTGGCTCCAAGTTAATTATTTGTTTAATCCTTTTCCCTTCGTGTTTAGGTGAAATACGGAGTTATAAATAGTTCTTAGCATTGTATAATAAGCATTTTACTTGACCAAGACTGATTAGTACCATTGTTTTTTTTTTTATCAGCAGTGGAACACTTTGAAACGAGTTATTTTGTTTCCAAAAAAGAACGTGAAATGTAAATTGGGTTTAATTCAGTTTATTTATAAAGCCCCGATAACAACAAAACATCTTCGGGCACGATACAAAATAAAAAATAAGTCCAGATCATATAAATCAAATTTACTAGAAGACAGATTCAAATTAAAATTCAAATAGGTTGTCTAAGGAAACCGCAGATTGTGTCTAATCTTGGCCCAACGGGCTGATTTTACGGCAGGTTTGATGCGAACGAGGAGGAATCAGGTGTTCACTTGGACCTGGGCTGGTCCAAGAACCTGGTCTGAACCTCTTCTAACCTGAACCTGGTCTGAACCTTCCTCTTTGTCCTTCGTATCTGGCTTGGGAACCCCAAGGTGTTCCAGAATACCTTTTAAAGGGAGGCTCCCTGATCAGATGAGCCACCTCAACCGACTCCTTTTGACACAGTGGTGCAGCGGTTCGACTCCCAAGTTCCTCACACGATCTCTTTCCGCACGAAAGAGGCTCATTTCAGACGCTTTCATCCAGGATCTTGTTCTTCCAATCAAACCTCATGACCACGGCTGAGTGTTGGAAGGAGACGCAGCAGTAAATCAAGAGCGTTGCCTTTCTTCACCATGACCGACCAAAGCAACACCCTCATTACTGAGGACGAGGCCAGAGAGCAGAAAACTAACAAATATTTAATTTCAGGGACTGAAATGAGAGTTTCGTGTTTTTATAAGAAATTAAACCAAAAAAAAGAAATTATCAAGTAACTGAGTGACAGATCCTTTCCTTCAGCTCTTGAGTAACGCGCCATCCTCTGGTGAAAAGAGGGTTCTTTTCCCCAAAAAAAGCCGATCTGTAACGTCGGAGCTAAAGGTCAGCTGTGACGTCTGCACGCTGCTCTGCCTGATGTGAAAACAGACGCTGGTGTCGTGGAAGGAGGCCACGGCCTCCACCCTGTGTGAGAGGTCGAGGGTCACGAGAACCTGCAGCCACAAACTTCAGTCAGTGACACGTTTCATCACGAGACGGAAACCGTTTTCAATCTAGAAGTACAGTTCAGGTGAACTCACATGCAGGACGGTTTCCTCTTGCTCTGCTGTTAATCATGTTTTGATGTAAATCCTTCAGCTCATTTAGGAGATGGACACTGTGACTTTTTGTTTTTGTCAGTTATATAATTTTAAAAAATCTAACTTTATTTACAGATATTTTTTCCTAACAAAAGCATTGAGACCTCTTAAGTCAAATGTGTCAAACTCAAGGCCCGGGGGCCAAATGTGGCCCTCGTTGAAATCTTACCTGGCCCCCAAGATGTTATTTTGAATGTAAAATACTTTTATCACTTTTATTTTTTTCAGTAATCTTTGATTATGATGGCAAAAATGCAAACGAGAACGTCAAATGAGACCAATCAAATTTTTGTTGAGGAACCTACAACCAAGAAAATATGTTGAGTATCCAACTAGAGTTAATGTAGATTCTGAAATTGGCCCTTACTTTGAAAAAAGGGTTTAATTTTGGCCCATTTTGTAAGTGAGTTTGACACCCCCGTCTTTAAGTTATTTCAGAAACATTATCCACACCTGCTTATGCTATTTTTAGCTTTAAGCCATTTTTGCTATTTTTAGCTTGCCTTTTGCTACTTATAATTAAAAGGGATTTTTTTTATTAGCCTTTGGCTACTTTAAG